CCTCTTGCTGTTTGTTTAAAACTGCCTGCACAGTAAATCTGTAAATAACTATTTCCTGAGCTTTGTAACATCGTGTGTACTTTGCCTTTTTTGCTTTTTGACTGAATGGATATAGCGCACTTTATCATTAAGATGGCATATAATCTTAAAGAACCATAAATTAAAACTAACCATACTTATGTGCTGTCACTCAGGTGTTGTAATGATCTTTGTGTCTTACTGTTAGTATACCTTATCACACTTCATGAATCAATCTCACACATTTAGATGTTTGCTTTCAGACTGACAAAGACAACACTCATTGTTGGATTTTTGTTTTTAACGGTGAAAAAAAAAATGTATAACAACTTTGAAGTGTGCCACACAACTGCACACCCAATATTATGTTTGTGGTGGGGAGTTGATGGTTATATGACATTAATAAAACTTTACTTTTTTCTTGAGCATCCAGTGTCTAATTCCAAGTGACAATATTTATCTGAAAATACAATCTTTTAAACAAAACTTAACAATAAAATATGTTTTTGCATTTTGATCATTGCCATTGTTCATACGCTAAATGAATATTAGCGCTAAGATGTCCCAGCTTCATCTATTGTGACAGAAGACGTCTTTCCTTAACATTTAAGAGATGTATTTTTTATTATGTTTTTGACATACACGTACAATCTGACATCAAAACGACTTAGTGCAAATATGAACTAAAACCCACAGCTAAATGTGATTGTGTTGCTTTCACACAGAGGTAGTTTACACACAACCAAAACAGTTACCAAGGTGATACAATGACACAGAAAATACTTTCATTAGATTCATTGTCATACATTTGGTTTTACTAAGAACTGTGACTACCTCTAATGGTGCTCTATAGCATTGTGTCTTTCTTACGTAAGTGCATATGTGATCACACATTGTGAACTGGGAATACACACTAAATAATCTATATTAAGAGATTCAGTGTAAATGGCAATCATTTGAAGGTAACACCTCCCTCAGTATGAGTTACTGTATTTTTGGCCCTAATGTTCATTGTAATTTCCCCAATGTACTCTTTCTGCTACTTGTAGAACATTAGTATAAGATAATAACAGTTCTTGGTGAGGTTAGTGGCATAAAAGAAGCATTTTGATTTGTTGACTGGTTATTGACAGCCATTGGCTTGTGGGTCCTCCAGTTTCTGGTGATCCATAATCTTGATGTTCTTTCCAGCATTTTCAACGTTCCTCACCAAAGTCTCGAGCCTCCTCTTGATCTTCTTCTGGTCCTCCAGAGCACAGCTGATCACTAGGGCCTGAAACTTCTGGTCGATGGGGACGGGGGGGGCCTCGGTCACACAGGCTGCGTACACGGCCAGCAGATGCTCCCGCCCGCTGTTCATGTCATCGAGCAACTTCTTCACTATTTCATCGATTAAAGAATTGGCGTTGCGCAGGGCCTCCTCCTGCTGGGAGTTCCTGATGGTGCCAACGGAGACCTCCACACACAGCGCCCGGCCCATCAGACGGTTGGCAGTTAAAGACAACTCTTCTCTCTCCCCTAAAAGATACAAAACAAGAAAGAAATGAATGCTGCATCTTTAAACAGCAAAATACACTGACTATACAGAGGCGGACACAATAATTAAAAACACATGAATATTCTGGTGTCAAATCCTTGTCGAGTTTGTTGGTGGATTAGAAACGAGATGCATATTGGGCGGTATGCATGTCTGCGATATGCAGACATGCATACCATTGTGTTTGAGTCTCTTTGTAGTCGTTATGCATATTGTTGTTTGTGTGTGGTCATTGTGTAGTCTTTTTGTGTCTCAGTGGCCTTTTCGTGTCTCTTTCTGGTCATTTTATGTTTGTTTGTGGTGATTTTTCATCTCTTTCTGATCTGTATGTGTCTCTTTAGTGACACTTTGAACCCCCTGTATGTAAAGCACTATATAAATAGGCTAGGGTGCAGTTACCCGAGGCTCCAAGGCCCCTCCCCCCCGTCAATGATCGTGACACCTTTGCGTGGGGCCACAAGTTGGCCAGGGGAAGCGCTGCTACAGGTCCCCTATTATGCTGTTTTTCATCAATATATTATAGGTCTCAGATATATACAAAACATGTCTCTGAAGCGTTTGGCTCCAAATACCAAACAGATCATGCATTGTAGCATCCCATAATCCTCTCTGTTTCAAAAGTGCTGATTCTCTGTCTGTTACATGTAGATGAAAATAAGGAGCCCCTCCCCACGCCCCTCTGAGAGATATTTGGTTAAAAAGAACAGAATGGTGCTAGGAGGAGATTCAGGTGATAAGGGTTGGTTGGTTATTGGCTAATGGTTACACAAGCCAAAAAAACGTCATGAAGTGGCCAAAATCTGATCAGCTCATTTTCAGACAGGTTTTTATATATTTTTATAATGGATCAGGACGAAAAGTGAGCGAATCTTTTTTCCTGAAACTTTCAGTATCTCTTTACACATGTTTATGTATAAAAGACATGAAAAAGTGGATTTTGCTAAATAGGTGACCTTTAAATGGGAAATTAGGAAACACTGACTGTATTAAATGTAATAACCATTTGTTTAATATCAAGTATGTGAGGGAGACAAACTCTTTAAACTTGGGCCCTCTTTTCTTGGGTGGAGTGCCTGAGGTTGTTAAAGAATACCACCCAACTACAATGAAGCATTCAAAGCATAACCTCATTGGATCACAATGTAACAATGAAATCAGAGGAGCAGCCAAATAAAGCAGATTACCCATTAATGAGCGACTACTATACAGTCACACAAGGAATCAGACTGTACACAAGTCATGAAATGAGCACAGTAAAGTTATGTCTCACCTTGAGAAATGTTTCTCAGCTCCTGTCCGTTCTGGATGGATTGGATCGTTTCCAGGATCAGCTCCCTCTCCTGCTCCATGGCCGATGCTGTTTCGCGTAAAGCCTCCACCCTAAAACACACCGACAACAACACATGACCACCGGCTTCCATTTAAAAACCACATCCTCCTCTGGAAAAATAACGGACTGTTGCAAATCGAGAGTAAAAATAACAAGACCATCTGGTATTCTATTAAGATTTTAGAGTATTATCTTACTAAAATACCTACACCCATTTATATTATCATGAAACTATTGAATTAGACCTTATGGATTACATCCGTTTTCTTCTACATTTCTATATATTTTGTATCAGTTAAAGAAGTTATGATATATGAGGATAATGCCTGAAAGATCCACTCAAGTGCCCGGTTTAGATCGCACATGGTACGGCCTGGTACTTCACTGTACCTCATTTCCAGCTGATCCAAACTTTCCAGGAGTTGACCGGAGCGATCTGCCATGGACAGCGTCCTGCTGAACTTGCTGCCCATAGCGTCGTTCATTTTCGCCTGTATTTTAGCTTGAGCCATGTTGGTGAATGCTTTTTAATAGGATAATTGTTAAGATCCGTGCCGGGGAGAAATCCTGTGTGCGATCAACACTCCTCTCCGTCCAGCTGACTGCAGTAGCGCCCCAGGGAGAACATTTCCTAACATGGGCTGCGGCTTCCTTCACTCACAGAAGCTTCCCGAGGAGTCCAGATACAGTGGTAACCAAAGTCAGGTCCGAGGACCCCTGCAGGCCCCCGAGAAGCTCCAGAAGACTCCCAGAAGTGCTAGATTGAGCTTTTATTCATTTATGGAGGATATAAAAACGATATATTCTTACTAGTAAGAATGCAAATTCTTGATATCAAAAATTCAATTCTTACTAGTAGTAATAATGTTTATTTCTGATATAATTGAATTTGAACTAGTTCAAATGCCAACTTCTGATATCAGTAATTCAATTGTTACTAGTTAGCCTACAATTACATTTGAACTAGTAAAACTACCAATTTCTGATATCAAGAATTCAATTTCAACTAGTCGAAATGCCAATTGTTAATATCAGAAATAAAATTATTTGAACTAGTTGAAAATCCTTTTTTTTACATCAGGAATTCAATTGTTACTAGTTCTAATTCAATTTTTATTTATAACTAGTTACAATTGAATTCCTGATATAAAAAAAGATGTTTAACTAGTTCAAATTTACAATGAAATGAATAAAAGCTAAATCGGCTTGCCATAGTTTTGGCATTTTTTCTTAGAATGCAGTTTTTGAAAACAGGCAGGTCCTCCAATTAGTAGAATTTTGGGAGCCCTAGTGTTCCTTTTAACTGGTTCATTTTTAACACATCATATAACATAAGATAAAATACGTTTGTCAGGGCAAAGGCGCCTGGGATGTGAGCAACAAAGTGACACAAAACTGTACTCAGCTGGGCATTTTAAAATGACATTCTGTTACACAGCTTCATATTTTCAGCCCTTTAATCCCTTTTTGAAACCTTCCAGCAATTATTATATTTTACTGTATTATTATTTTTGATATAGGCTATACTTAAAACAAATTACCCACATAATAATTGCATAATTACTGCAACATAGAGAAAACCGTATTGCCATTTTGTAGTACTAATCAGGTATTAAAGGAATCTGTCAGTTGTCAAATTATTTTTAAGGCAACAGAAAACCTAAATTGCTGTTGCTATCATTTCAGCTGCCCTTAAACAGAACTTCCACTGTCTCTACTTTCACAGGAAATGTTTACTATCCTAACTTGAAGAAGACTGAGACATGTCTCCATACAAACGTTGGCCCTGCTCCCTACGGCGCATACAAGACACTGGATTTCAAGTCTGCAATGAAATCAGAGACTGCAATGTGAGCTTCAGTTTGCCCTGTGGTCACAAGTTCAGCTTCAACATTTTGCAGTGTCATTCGATGCCATCTTTAACAAGTGTCGACACACAAGTGTTGAGTCTCCACAACAGAAACCATAAATCCACCTCCACAAAAAATACCTTCTGCCAGCTGCATCTGCTCTGAACCCTGTTATGTGAAAGCCCTATATCATCATTTCTTTATGTCATCATATATTGGGACATTTCCAAAGTAGTTTAAACCGCATACAAATTCAAATAGCAACTTGTATTTATTTATTTATTATATTCAGAACACAAATACTTAGGACAAATCATCGCAATATAATGTCAGATAAGCATTGTGTCACAAACAAAGAACAAAAATCATCATGTCTTCAAAACTCCAAAAGACTTCTTCTGAGAACTGCTTCCATCTCTGTAAAACAAAAAAAGCTGAATATAAAAAGTCAAATTACACAAAATAAAAAACGCAACACCGTAACTATGATGTGTAAATGTCAATTCGACCTAATACTTGTATGTTTTCTTTTCCTCCGGAGGCTGCAGTAAGTTAAACTCAGGGGAAACGAGGAATACATGCCAAGCCACAGAACCCTAACCTGCCGACTCTCTTTCTTCTTCTGCATTTGAAGAGGGTTCATGGTGCATCTCTTCCTCCGAATCACCTGTAAAGGAGAAAAATAAAAGTTGATATGTTGTAGGTTGATAAAAATACCATCACATAATTTAAATTGTTGTCTCTTGTGTACAAGTAGAAGAAAGCTAAAATGTGCTTTTGCCATCTTATCTATTGAGTGATTCTGATATGTATTGTTTATCACCTGCTTCCTTCTGTCTGTCGGCCGGTTCCATTCTCAAAACCTTCACCACGGATTCATCTTCAATCTCTAAAAATGACAAAATAAAAAAAACATGTTTAAAATGCTGCATGCAAACAAAGATAATACATGTTAATATTTTTAACAGATTTACCATTGGTGTCTGTTATGATCTCCACGGCATCGAGCACTGTTACAGGGGATGATTCTGCTTTTGTGATTTTCCTGCAGGTCCTGGAGCTCATGCAAGGTTCCATTGTACAGTGTCGGGAGTGATAGTGTTTATGGAAACTCGGGACACTCGTGAAACTCTCCTGGCAAGCTTCGCATTGTATTTCGTAGGTCTTGTCCAGGTTCAAGGCTGCGTGCTTTGTGTGGATGTGAGTCTTCATCTTTGCATAGGTCTCCAAATATTCACCACAAAGAGTGCACACAAAGTGACATGCTCCCTCAGCAGACAGATACCTCATGCATTGTGTAAATGTAGCTTTTTTCTTCTCTTGGCTCTGATTGGAACCCATGCACGGGCACGTACTCTGACTGCTGCTTTCAGCAACAGCAGGCTGATCGGCTTCACTCTCATCCATACGGTAGTAGTCGGTACTGTGAAGACTCTTGTAGTGCTCCAGGAACTCGGCCTCTGTTTGGAACGGCATGCTGTCGCAGAGGCCGCAGAAGTGGGAGCTCTTTATCTGCCCGTCGTGCTCATTGGCACAGTGTCTCCGCACAGTGGAATCCTTAAAGAACTTCTGGGGGCAGTGTCCACAGATGAACCTCTGGAAGCTGTGGCTGCTCAAGTCGCTGCAGTGTTGGCGTGCGGCCGCTTCCGAGTCAAAGGTGTCCTCGCACATCCTGCACATCCACATCGGCTCTGTGTTGGAAGAAGACGTCTCTGCTATGTTCTGTTGGACCGTGGACCCGGACGATGAACCTGCTTTGCTGCTGGTTGAAGGCTTGGTATGGACCTCCTCGGGCACTTCCTGTTCAGTGAAGTAGGTGTGTCCGCTGTGAGCCTCGGCCACGTGAGACATGATGTCTTCATACCGAGGCATTTCCACGTTGCACTTGCGGCAGTTATACAGGAAGTTGGAGAGATGAGCTCCTCCGTGGAAGCGACTCATATGCAGGCGGGTGATGGCGGACTCCCCCATGTGTTTGCCACACACGCCACACTGATGGAAGATTTGGTTTGAAGCCAATATATGCTTTTTGGCTGTAGCCTCCTCTGAGAACTGTATGCTGCACTCGCAGATCCAGGCTGTTACATAGTTTCTAACAGCGCTGCCTCTCTTACGCTTGGCTGGAAGTTCATCACAATCACTCCTCTTCTTGGTTCTTTTTTGAGAAGGTGACTCAAGGCCAGTGGGCTGTCTTCTGCCCTGTGCCTCTCCAGCGCTCTGGGTGTGTTGAATTTCTCTAAACCTGCAGTACTGAAGGAGGGCTTTGGCCATGGTGTTATTCACCTCCACGTCATGCTGGGTCGATTCTTTGTGTTTCTCGATTTCAGCTTGGCTGAGGAAGATTTTACAGCAGAGGGAACACTGCCCGGCCACTTGCAGCCGCTTCATCACCTGCAATATGGTTTGATCAGCCAAGGACACGGCACAGCCATCTCTGCATTGCACACTGCAAAACAGGATATATAAAGAAAAAGGATTTGAAAAATCCGCTTCATAAAGCCTCTAAAGAAAATCTGCACCTGCTATACGAACATAATGTATTATTTAAAAAAGCATATATGCACATACTGAATAAGTCTCCAAACAACTTACTTAAAGTGAGCCTTAGCTGCTTGATGTGAGATCAGTACTTTGTGACATAAAGAGCATCGGACTTTGAACGGGACATCCTTGCACAACGCGACGAGACGATTCTTAGCGTATTGTGGGACGGCAATCGGTTGTGCTCTTCCTTTGGGTTCTTTAACAAGAGGAGAAAAGGAAAAGGTTTACATAAGTATTGCTCAAATATTACCTCGAGTGCTTTCTAGGAGTCATTCTTTAGAACATTGGTTCTCAACTGGTCAGGCCTCGGGATCCACTTTTATCTGGATCTATTACTACCCGACATATTAATAATATTTTATGCCATTGTTTGTTTTTCACTTTGTTCTGAAGCTGAACCTTCTGCTCCACACAGAGAGAAGAGCAAAGAGGAAATAGTCTGTGAATTACTTTAAATTGTGGGTAGGGTAGATAGCCCCCATTGTTCTGTGACCTGTCAATCATCAAACCGGGGGTCATATTTCCTTATGTGTTCATTTTGATCTGAAGTTGTACACATGGATGTATAAAGAATAGTTTTACCGCAAAGTTATTCTCCGTAGGGACTTCCGGCAACAATCTTGATTCTGATTGGCCAGAAGACTCGAAAAAATATCAGCAAAGATGTTACAAGTTTTCAAAACCGTTTATGGTCTCCGTTACTTCCAGTCCAACGCCGACTGCATGCACAGCGTTAGAAAATCGGGCCTTCAAAATAAAAGTTTTTCTCACAAAAATAAATAAAATTATATTTATTTTTTCTTCCCTCACACATCTGCGACCCACTCGAAACGGGTCCGCGACCCAAAAGTGGGTCGCGACCCACCAGTTGAGAACCACTGCTTTAGAACATGTTTAGAAAGCGTTGATTAAACTTTACCGCTCATGGCGAGTGACTCTGTGAAGTGGTTTCTGGTTGTCATGTGCTGCAGGCACTCATCTCGGAGGTTGAAGAGGTGGAAGCAGGCCGGACAGGCGAAACACACAATCCTCTGAAAGGTCTGATTGATGCTGTGACCGTCAGCGGCAGATGAGGACACCTAGTGATCAAAACATGTTTCCTTACAAAATAATTATAATATTACGAAGATGTAATACAAACTAATTAGGAAATCAGTCATAAAACAATATTTGTGTTATATGAGAGTCAAAAAGGGCACACACCTTGGACATGAGATGTGTCATCCATGCTTCTTCGGTCTCAAAATGTTGAGAGCAGGCTATGCAGGCAAAGAGCTCAGATGGCCATCCTTTAATATGAATGGTTGGGTCACAAGGGGAGTGATCAAACCTACAAATAAGATATGTTATTGCAAAAATATGCTATATTTGTAGTCAGGAAAAACGTTGAAATGGTATTACACCGATACTGAAATGAACATAAAAAGGTTACCTTTTTAGGTGACCGTCAAGAAGGGACAGAGTGTCATAAACCCGGGTACAGTTGACCACTGGACAAGTCTGTCTATTGGAACTATTTCCAGGAATAGCAACACGTCTGTTTCGCCCTCCAAATCCAGAATGAATCACTCCAGGTTTAGGACCTAAATATATGATGTAATAAATAAGATACAATGTAATAAACCATTGTAAAAAGGATGCTCTTTCATCACATTTCAATTAAGGTAATTATTTCAGTAGGACAACATATTTTCCTGGCAAGAATATCAAACAGCTCATGAGAGAAACATGTGTTCAAGGTTTATAAACTCCAGATTGACAATGTCAGTGATTATGCAACACATTTCTGATCAACGTAAAAACGGCACCTGCTCTCTTTAACCACATGTCCACACAGTTCTTTGCATCGCGATTGAAGCCATTTGAAGAAGTGAAAGCCAGTTCCTGCCGTCCATGAGCCCTTTGTAGGATTTGCTTCTCCTGTAAGACAGAAAAAGATAAGCAATAGCAGAACATATTTGTACACTTGCCAACACTGTATGGCAGGCAGACAGACGGCAGTAAAAACACCTACAGACACTGTTTATTGCTAATTCTTTAGGTCACAAGCAGTATGATGTTGCACTGAGAGGATACACCACTGTTGGTTCTGTAGGTTGTTTATTATGCATTCTGCCCACAAGGTGGCAGTGTTCATGCTACAACTGACCTCATTTGACCCCATATTATACCAACAACAAATGAATGACTACTAAGCATTTGATATCACATTTCCTCTTAACTAAAATAAAAAGCAAATTATAGTATCTAACAAGCAAGACATGATAGCAGCTTACTTCCTTTTTAAAGAAACTTACCTTGAATGCCCGACATTTATCTATTCTTTCCTGCTTCTCAAGAGCCACCTTCTGTGCTAGTCTGTCCAATGTTGATGAAACACGAGCTTTATTGCGGGAGATTTTATCTTCAATCTGCAGGAAAATAAAAAGGCACAACAATTTTATAAACTCTAGACCGACACTGTCTATTAAAAACATATTCTATTCATCAACTTACTGTGCTTGCAAATGATGGACATCCCTCAGCCTCATCATCCAGGTCAATACATTCCAATACTGGTCTGGCAGGCCCCTCCTGAAGCAAATGCAAGACACCATGTCATTTAGTCTTGTTAAACATATCTATATAAAAATCAAATAATGAGCAAACCTTTACAATGTGAAAAGAGGGATTTCTTTATTGCCCATGATAAGAGAGGTGCTCTATGTCTGAATCACAGCTACAGCCATACGATACATGGAGCTGTTCAGTTAATCAAATACCATATATTTATGAATGATGTCTTAGTATCAGGCTACATCAAGGTGTTATTGCGCAATGAGTCATGTCAATGACGAGAGATAGAAAGTAAACATGTATTTGATATCTTATCCTTTGAACCTATTGATTTTTTTTAAAGGTCCCATGTCATGCTTTTCCGGTTATTACCCATCCCCTTGTATGTTATGAAGGTTTTTCTGCATGTAAACGGTCTGCAGAATCAAAACCCCTCAAAGTACACCCTGTAGCGAATAAAACTCTAACACAGTCTATGCTGCCCCAAAACGCCTCGTTGGAGATTTCTCATTTTCCATTGTTTACTTCCTGGGTACTCTGACGTGGGGATACCCAGAGGCCACACCTTCTGCCAGCATTTCACGGAACAAAGTTTCCCAAACTTTTCAGCGATTCATGCCGGATATGTACAGCGTAGGGGCGGGCCGTTTCTTCCTATAGGCGGCCACTAGGGGGCCCCCAAGCTGAAAGTATTTTTTTTTATTCATCCGAAAAACAAAAAAAAGTGTAATTCATACACACAAAGATGAACAAAATTAGTAGAAGCGGGAGGGCTGAAGCATAGCTTGTGGAAAGTAGCCCTCCCGTGCATCATCCTAATACAGCGACATTATTGCATCAAAAACGTATAGAAATGAAGGAGTACAAAGAAATAAAGAAAACAGGAGAAACAGTTAAATAAAAGTTAGGGCAGGAAAACAATAAATGCAATATATATATATATATATATATATATATATACGAAAATTAGATATAGGATCATTTTCTGCACATGTCAATAGCAGTTTCAACTATCTTTTATTGGAAATTAAAATACTATATATAAATATATACATAGGTACACATGTACTTGGCAAATGAATAATAATAATAATAATATATGCATAATTGCATATAAACATTGTGAACACTTATTTTCAAGTGTCTTTTTTTACATTCATATGTTCACGCTGTGGTTTGAAACTGCTTTTGAATGTTATTAGGCATTTTCTTATGGAAAATGTTGTGCATAATCAGTACTGTTTTAAGCTGTACTATCTCAACACATTTTAATAGATTGAGGTTTTTTTTAAATATGGGAGTTGTGTGTTCATATTTACCAACACCACAGACTATTCGTAATACTTTTTTTGGGATGTTATTATTTTTTGTAGATTTGTTGAGTACGTGTTTCCCCATATTTCGGAGCAGTAGTAAAGGTAAGGGAGAAATAGACTGTTATAAAGAGTATATTTTCTTCAAGAATGTTCTTAGTATGATACAAAATACCTATTGTTTTTGACAGTTTAGTCTGTACATAATTTATATGGTGCTTCAAATTGAGTTTTTCGTCAACAAGCAGTCCTAAAAATGTACATGCACCAACTTTTTCTATCTCTGTATTGCAAATCCGTATAATGCAGTCATTTCTACTCTCAGACTTTGTATTGAATAACATGTCATTTGTTTTGGCCACATTAAGGGATAATGTATTAACTGCAAACCAGTTACATAGTATTTTTAATTCTGCATTCACAATTTTAACAAGATCACCAAGATTATGATGAGAGCAGAGAATTCAAAGTTCAGGTTCAGCCTCAATATATTTGGGGAGAATTAAAATGAGCCGTCTTTATTTGTAGACAGCCAAGCCCCCCTCCTGTGTTCGCAGTGGCGTTTTTATATGTACAAAAGTGGTGGGGCACAAAAAACGTAGATGTCTATATATAAGTTTCTGCAGTGAGATTCATGGCTGCTGAGGCTCTGGCACCGACTCTTCAGGTTTACAAATATTATATATATATTCAACAAAAGGATACCCAAAAAAAAATATTTTATCATTTAAATATTGAATTGTTCTCTCTTAGTAAGATTCCATTTTCAATAAAATTGCGGTCTTACCTTGACTTGAAGATGAAGTCCATTTGCCTATCCTTCTGGACAAAAATCTCTATTACTTTTTTGTAAAAGTCCTCCTTATCTTCTTGTAGTTTCAAAAGTCTATCATAAATCTAATCGATAGATTTATGATTAGAAAATTCTAAAAGTAGGGTAGACATGTGGATATTATCCGGCTGAACAAACGTGCATTTATCTAACAGGTACGTTTCCCACAGATCTTATTTTGAGCTATTTTCTAAAATCCTATGGAGAAATATCATTGCTTTTTTGTGGAGGGAAGCCATGCGCAGCTTACTTCCTGGTTTTAGGACGCGTCTCTCTCCTGCTCTTCACACCACACTTTTCGCGGCACACGTACTTACAGCCAATCAGCTCTGAATTATGTATATATAAAAAAAAGTCGGGCCCCCCCCAACACAAATAGTCAGGCTCAGTGGCGGCGCCAGAGATTTATTTTGGGGGTACTGTGGGGTAGCTTGACGTTTCATAGAGGGTGCTTAAACATTTAGGGTTTCCCATTAATGTACCAGGCGCTACAGTGGAATGTTCTACTGCAACACTCCCCACACGCACACACAGTATACCCGCGACTGTTACAATGAAGGCTCGATAATCAGCTCACGGCATATAGGTGTAAGCAGGGGTAAAGTGCTATTTTTATAGGTGGTGTGTGTGGACCTCACATAGGGGGGTCCGGGGGCAAGCTCCCCCGGGAAGATTTATTTTTAAATTGAATTTAAAAGCATCAATCTGGTGCACTTTGAGAGCAAAATGAAGAGATCTATGGATACATCTCTCAACACAGAACTGTAAACAGATTTACTATTTCTTTATAGATATTTTACAAATCACCCTTTTAAACTTTATTCTTGTTTTACTTTCATATAGTATTTCATACCCGTTTTTAATTTATTCTCTTATTTTTGTATAACTATAATGATCATATAAACGTGTGCCTCGGAAATAATTGTTTACATTAATGGTGACCAAAACATTTGAGACCCACTGAGATAACACTGAGAGAGTCCTCACTGAGTCTCTCAGTCTGACAGGAGAGGACTTTCCTCCACTTTGTTGTTGAAAAAACTCCTTATATCCGTTAGCGTAGCTCGCTAGCACCAGAAAATAACATCAACGATCTCCGGTACCGGTGCGCTCTCTCTCTCGCGCACGCACACAAAATGGCTCGTTCCACACACACACACACACACACACACAGAGCCGAGCTTTAATGAAACACAGAGACCCAGACGTAATAGTACTGTATCATATTATTTTCGAATCAATAATTTTTCAAAATATGATTTTTTTTTAAACTTTTTTTTTTTAATAACCCTGTCATGCCTCTGCGCCCCCCTGGGGGGGGGCGCGCCCCCCACTTTGAGAACCACTGCCCTATGGTCATTATTTTTTTGCCACACACATTAAATAGGACAATACTCTGAGCATGCGCAGTGTAGTTTTTATAGTCACCGTTCACTTAGACAGTGAGGGGCATGATCGGGTTTTGTCCCACATGGCTCTAAACAGCTCAATAGGCACACACTGTAGACACTAATTAGAAGAACACAGACTAAAACAGCAATGTACAGACGAATCAGATGATTAAACATGATTTTACCACCATGGGCGGTGGTGGCGAAGTCCATAGGGACTTGGCTTGGCAACTGGAAGGTCACCGGAAAGACCAAGTGCTACCGAGGTGTCCCTGAGCAAGGCACCGTTCCCTACACTGCTCCCCGGGCGCCGTACATAATGGCAGCCCACTAGGATGGGTCAAATGCAGAGAAACCGTTTCATTACCTGTACTACGTAATGACAATAAGTTGAATCTTCTTCTTCTTAAAATATATTTTGTTATTTATTTTTTGCATTTTTTTGTAATCATTATTTGTACTTTCTGCTGACACTAGGTGGGGCTGTGCCAGTCGCCACTGTGCTGACAGCCAATGAGTGACGTCTGAGGAAGATGAAAAATGTAAATTAAACATTGTTGAGAAAATGCTGCATCTCTTGCATTTATTGACATAGAGGAGCCTTATTATTTACCTTTTTAATATCATTTTTTGTAATTTTCAATTGCTTGGTTTTCGTGAAATTAGCCTGTTTTCCTATTAAAGTGTAACAGATTGATGCATCTCCACAGATCATCTTAAAGGCTTCGGAATCCCCCCCATTGTAGTTAAAAAAACTGTCAAAACTAGGGCCCCCAAACAGCATCTTGCATAGGGCCCCCAAAAAGCAGCTCCAACAAGCCAATTAGGACAGAGAGTGAATACCGGTGAATACACATACTTTACAGCAGGGGTCAGCAACCCCTGGCACCTGGGTCTGGTCTGGTATACCTCAACAATGGAACTATGATCAGTAGAAATGGCCATGACTTACTGATACAAACTCCACTTCTTCCACCTCATCGTCGTCTGCTTGAGTTGGAGAAGACATTTATCTGAGGGGGAAAAAACAAATGTAACTCTTGAAGCTTTAGTCTTTGAACATGCGTGCAGGAGAGAGGGACGTACTAACTAGTTAACTTAAGCAAGTCAGCAGTGGTGTAAAGTAACTAGGTAGCTACGCAAGTACTGTACTTAAGTACAATTTTAAAAAGGGACTTGTACTTTACTTGCCTATTTAAATGTGTTGCTACTTTGTACTTATACCCTACTACAAATCATAGGTAAATCATGTACTTTTGCTCCACTACCTTTATTTAATATCTTTCGTTACTTTGCAGATTTGAATGAATGATGTGAAATATAGTCAATGCTTAAATAGGACTTTGATTACACCCCGAAGCATACAAAATCATTAAAACACATTTTCCAGCTTTGATAACACAATATATATTTCTTATGAAATGGGTCATCTGGATAATGGGTTATTTTACTTTATGTATTTTTTTAATGCTAATACTTTTGTACTTTTACTCTGGTACTTTTACTTAGATACACGATCTTAATACTTCTCCCACCTCTGCCAGTCAAGTGTCAGTACTGAACAACTCCAACTGAATCTATAGCTAGTTAGTTTAGCGTTACAAGTTGCATGACATTAACCACACTGACTAAACGGCATCATCCGGTCGCCTGGCTAACCGAGTACAGTTGTAATATCCGGCCCACATTGTTAGTGTGTTAGTAAGGTAAGTTTGCTGCGATTGATGAATATTAAAATGTTGTAAAACACATCGGAGGGCAGTAATTAGATTCAGCAACTGTTCAGGAGACCTTTCATCTATTTTCAGCTTGCCCACGGCAACAAAACACGACTTACTCCGGTGTCATTCAGCCTGAATTTGAAAAATGATGCATCCAATGTTTTGTCCAACATGGAAATGATCTCTCTCGACAACCTACCAGAGTGCTAATTTTTAGGGTTGCCAGTGCCAATGGGTGGAAGCTACATTTCACAGTCTCATGAGCACTTAAATCACAGTGCTTTTAGACTACATCTCTTCGCCACTATTAGCAGCACTGAGCGCCGAACAACAGCACCCTAGGCGCAACGAGGAAGAAGTTCCCGCCACAGGCATAGCTAGCTGCGCTCAGAGCCGTATGCTGCGCTCCTTCGATGAAAGACTTGATTCTGCAACTTTACACACTTGACGGCGATGTGAAGTCTCCTCATCCAACACTAACGAGTTAACTGCCTTCCAATGTTTCTGTTTAATCAACCATCTATGTGCAGCAACTTTAAAGGCAGCGAAATGAATGCCACACGTGCTGGATCAGGGTAAGCTAACGTTAGCTCTCTGACATGTATAGTTGCTACGTCTGAACTCGACTAAACGCTTAAAAGGTAAACATGCTAAAGTTCGATTAAAGTGTGCTTTGATAAAACATGGTTGAAATAAACAGGTTTATGAATCTGAGCATGACATTACCCGCTCCTTATTCTGTTGGCTCCACGGTTGTGCAGAGTGTGTAGATACTACAACAACTACAATCACAGTTAACGCAACTAGTCTGGTCTGAAAGTCACGTGTAACTGAAGCGCTCCTTTTCTACACGGAATGTGCCGTAAGGACGGGGTTAATGGTGGTTGAAAAGTAACAAACGAAAGATCAAACTCCGCCCGTCTGTTACCTGGTCCGGGATGAACTGTGAAACTATCCCTAACTGCTCCTCTATTCATATTTATTGTGTTTTTAACGGTTTTTAACCATGTTAGATTAGATTGTTTTAGACACCTGGGCTGTAAATATGTACTGTACACTGTATGTGACTTCACTTGAAACTAAATACGTTGTTAAAATCACTTTGTGCACAAACTATTTATGATTAAAGTGGATATGTGATTAATTTATACATAAATGTATTTTATATTATATCAAATTACTATTAATATTCAAGCAATTCAAGCCTTTTGCATCAGTTGTCAAAGTCTGACGGGCTAATCTATGAACGTAGGGAAAACCAATTTACAGAAAGGAACAGGAAAATGTGAGTACAAATGATAATGGAATGTGTGCAAGAATATATATTAATAACATGCTTTACTATTTTACACAAACATAAGACATGTATAAATAAATAAAATGTGTTTTGTTGACATACCCAACTCACCACACCTCGCAATTAACTGTACAGACATATATATTTATATTAGTCAACTATTCGACTTGCAGAAGAAGAATCATCTCACTAAACTGAATAAGGATTCGTCTTGGACTTTCAAACAACACATTCAAAGACATTACCTTAGACTTGGAGAACTGGGATTGACGTTTTTCACTATTTTCTGATATATTGTAAACCATTAGTTTAATTGATAATGAAACTAATCATTAGTTGCAGACCTACTTGAAAAACATTCATACTTAATGAATAAAAAACGAGTCATAAAATAAATGAATAACCATATACAAACTTTCAAATTAGTTATATGTGGTTAAATATAGGCCATAACAATTGTCTCTATATTTTCATCATTATAAATTGACACACAACAGTATGCTATTGGTTTATTGCATGTATGGATGTATCACATGTTAACATAATAATCATGTCAGCGTCTGCTTCATAGGCTCTTTTTAAATGTCCAAATAAAACACACGTTTCGCTCCTCACTTTGCTTGTCTGAGTTTTTCATCATTTCATCCCTCAATATCAGCTCATCCAGATATTACATAACCCATGTTGGATTATGATTAACGTTGCCCCCCGCCCCCCCCCACACCCTCATCCTGAAAGTGTCTGTTCATGCACCTGACTCGTTTCAGAGATTGTCCACTAAGCTTGTAATTTAAATATATACTTCAAATAAACGTTATATTATTAGACATTATATGACCTATAATAATAATAATAATAATAATATGTTGTTGTAACATTTGAGGTACACCATACAACAGATGTACAAAGGTTCCCTATCCACCATGACTATTGAGGTTTACAAACATGAATAGGTCTGTATTAGTCTTAGTTATAGTGTTAATAGTGTGACAGCATGATACTGCAGCAGATTACTGCGATGCTCAGCTGAATCTGCTGACTCCCTGCCCCTGTAAAAAATAAATAAATAAAACGCGCGTCTCTGCTGAGTCATGCATCGTATACCTCACAATAATGATATCAATAGTGTGGGCTGTATACTTTGAAGCTGTATGCTATACGCTGTTGGCTCTACGATGCTTCACGTATGTCCGTCACTGTCTTTATTCTCATCTTGAGCTCTCAGCGACACATCGGCAGCAGAGCAGCCTGCTACTGTCTGAGGCAAAGGGCTCTGTCCTACATCTCGCCTTACGATGATTGCTGCGGCGTTTTTGGTCCTGTTGAGGCCGTATAGCATTCAATGTGTGCTGCTGCTGCTGTTGCTATTGCTCGGGACTATAGCGACAATTCTGTTTTTCTGCTGCTGGCATCGCAAGCTTCGGAATGGACAACATCCAATAAAATCAGTGCTGTCCGGACGCTCCAGGAGCCGCGGTGAGTGGCGCAGGCCATGCGCATCTCCTCATCCTGACAGCTCATGTCTGTATCCTGCATGTTCTGGATGTGTTCATAGTCTATTTTATGTCTTATAGCCAGTAAAGCCAACCCTTAGCTGCAGTATGGGTTGTTGCATAAAACAAACGCATATAGATGCGAATAAGTGGGAAGATACTGAGTTTTTTAAAAATAGTTTTAGCCTAACCTATCTAGAATTATTGTTGAAAACATGAATGTATTTAGACTATATATGTTGTTTCATACTGTTAATGCTTGTTAAATGTTTTATAATATCTCATAACATCTGTTATCTGTCCTGTAGTGGGCCTCCGAACACATCATTTTCGATCAGAGGTATGAACTTTTTTAATTATGGGTTTGAGTCAGTGCTCTGTAATAGTTAATCATTATTGGAGACATCAGGAGGTAAATGTGTGAAAGTTCTATTTAGTATACCATATCAGCTTCTTAAGAATAATATATTTCTGCAAAAGCCTGTTTAATGTACTTTTTCAGAACTGCATGACTATTTTAAGGAGCATGATGTGCGCAATGCGCATGTGTTATAGGCTATCAATAAATGATATGGGTGATGTTGCAGTTTCATGCTTTGAGGAGGATTGAAACTAGACTGGAGTTTTTTTCTCCAAAACACATAAAACTGAGCTGAAAGTGAGCTGATAGAACGCCACCATATGTTACTCCACATAAGAGAGGCTTATGTCATCATGTTTGATGGCTAAATGCGTCAAGTGGCTTCAGTCGCTGTATTTCCGTTTTACGCACTTCACTTTCAAAATAAAAGTACAAAAAATGAAGTGTAAAAAAAGTGCATGAACACGGATGCTATCGCCAAATTGCCATCTTTAAAATTAAAACAAAAGCTTTCTTATTAGATATAATTATGTTTAAGTAATAATGTTCCTGGCATGGTCTACAGTTTAAAGGAGTAGTCTGTCATTTCTTTTAAAAATAAAACTTAAATGGGGTTGCATTTAATGCACTAATGCCTACAAATCTAATTTGCAGTGGTTGTGAAGTTCCAAAAGAAAAAATACTGCCCTTTGCTGGTATTCAAAACCTTCATATAATAGGTATGTTATTGAACCACAGGATACTGAATCCCCACTGGCTCAGGACTGCTGCTGCTAGGGATTTAGTATCATGTTCAAGGGCACAACAGCAGTGCAGTGCTTAATGTAGAACAACAGTTCCCTGATTATTACCTTTAAAAGCATTAAGCCAAACAATGAACAACTCTGAATGGAAGAAACTAAAGGTATAACAAAGAAAACATAGATCATTTAGATTTGCTGAATCATCTTTCTCTGAATCGAAATGTAGGTCATCTCCCATGACAGTGTGTCTCCATGGCTTAAGAAACATGAATTGAATCAGGATCATTGTTTATGATAAGAGCTTTTGATATCTCCTACTGCTGAAAGTATGAACTGCTGCCATTTTGATATTTGCTGATGTTTCCCAGGGCTTCAGGCACAGTCCACGTCACGCCAGAAGGAGCATACATGCTCGAGTGACAGAGGAAAAGCCTAATCTGGTTGAGATTCCTGAGAGTGAACCAGAATCATCCTCGACTCTAAGAAAACGCAAAGCAAAGAAGAGGGTCCTGCCAGAGTTTTACCAGTCTGTACAAGTCACCCCCACACGCAGACCTGTAGGTACCCCCTTTAACTGTAACCATGATAAATACTGATTGTTCTGCTTGCTCCCCTCCACAGGAACATCAGTCTGCCTTTAACGCCGGTAATGATTCAGAAGCTTGCTCAAGGACACAGGGCAAGTGTTTGTGTGTAAACCCTGCTCTTAAATGATGCTCATTATAGGTTGTTAGTGTTGTTACTTTATTTATTTGTGTATTGTTTAGTGAATAGTAATACAATGAATCAAAAAACTGTGTTCACTTGTTATCATAGTCAATCTATTCTACAGAATTAACCTTTTAGGTTTAACAAAACAAAATGTCTAGGGACATTTATTTATAGGGATTATATACCTTTGCTTAGCATAAACAATTAAACATCTCTGCAAACTCAACCATAATGTGGTCAAAAATCCAACACTGATATTGGGCCATCTGTTATACATGTTTTATACATTAGCATGCAATTTATAAAGAGGATGCAATCTTATGTTGAAAACCTATGTGATCTTATTAACAAATCAGAGCACATTTAACATATCCAAAAACCAATGTATGTATCAAACATTCTAGTAGGCCTTTAGGTATTTTCCCGTTTGAATATCAAATGGTAATAACACATTTTACTTTAGTTTGTTGTTATTTTAGTTGGCATGCTTGTACATCTTTCTTTAAAAAAAAAAATCTAATCTGTTAACAATTTACTATGGTGGCATAAGAACATTATGTATCCCTATATGGCTCAAAAGTCTAACTGTTTAAACAGTTTTAGGCGTTTGGTATTTCCTTGTCGTTGTATCCCTGTTAACTTGCTGCATTGCTTCCAAACCGTGTGGTCACATTTTGCAATTGTTTTCTTAGTTTCAAATAGTGTCGTTTAAAAGGTGAGGAGGGAGAGTGTATACCACCTGACCCACATATTGATCCATTTCTTCCTGGAAGGTAACACCTGACTCCAGGAACAGAGAGTTGTATAAACACAGAGCCTCAGCAGGAAATGTGTACTTATGGGAACATAAGGCACAACCACATTGAACCCCTATGGTGTGTTGGCCTTTCTTTATGCAACGCTGCTCCAATCTGGGAATATCCTTTGTTATGTTCCATAGAAAATAATCCTTATCCCAGTACATCACCGAGCCTATGTCTGCCTTTCATTTGTTGTGTCAGGAATATACTATTATCTTTACATAATTGTTATCCCTACTCCAAAGGGCTACAGTTGGTTACATCAACATTTAGCGGAATATTTGACACGTCAATGATGTTTGAACTGACTGTGTTTACAGGAACATATTGATCTGTGTGAAACTGATGCAACTCCTTGCTTCCATTACTTGTTTTGCAATCCAGAAGATAACAAAAACATCATCCATATGAACGGT